TTTCGCCATCTCAGGAACCGAGCAAATGATGAACCTGCCAATCTCTTACAGGACGACCAAGGGAACATCATTGTTGATCCAACTCAATGTCAAGCCATTGACACATTCAATAATGCCTGGGATGAAGTTTTTGCCTGTAACATCACGGCTGAACATCCTTTGAAAATGTTGGAAGTCATTTGGCCTTATATTAAGGATCACACTAAGCAATTTGAATGCCCTCCCATCGATGCACATGAGCTTTGGCTGACGGCGCAAGCTCGCAAGCCACAAGCCGCCCCAGGATTCGATGGATGGAGGACACAAGAACTTCAGAAGTTGCCTGAGGCTTGTTTTAAGCCCTTTGCTGAGGTTTTTGCCCAACTAGAACTCACTGATGAACCCCTGCCTACCACACTTACATGTGCACGGCAAATGATTCTGAACAAGAATGGTTCTGCTCACCCAATGCAGAAACGGCTCATTACAGTTTTGCCGATTTTGTATCTAGCTTATTCAGGGGCAAGGTTTCGTCAGCTGCGCACATGGCAGATTCAATCCATGCCACGACAGTTGGTGGGAGGAGTCCAGGGTAGAAATATGTCTTGCATTCAAACCCATTTAAAATTGGACATTGATGTTGCTGAATCTCAAGGTTTTGACCTGATTGGTTTGAAGCTCGATAAAGCCAAGTGTTTCGACCGTGTCATCCCTTCTTTTGCTGCAACTCTTATGTTGGCTTTTGGGATCGATCGCAAGCTCGTCTCGATTTTTACCAAGCTATATGATGGTTTGCACAGACACCTCAGTTTCAAGTGTTGGTGTTCACCCGTTGCCACTCATGCAGCAAACGGGATTGCACAAGGGGACAGCATGTCACTTGTTGCAATTAATGTATACTCCAAGGTGTGGATCATCTTCATGGACTTGCTACCTGATGTAGTGGCCATGGCATATATTGACGATTGTTACCTCTGGGCTCGCCTTGAACACGCTAGTGCACTTGAAAGGGCGGTTCAAATGACACGCTTCTGGGACCAGCTGTCTGGCCAACTTTTGAATGATTCCAAATGTGTGGTTTGGGGAACCTCCACGAGTGCAAGAAGAACTTGTAAAGCTTTGTGGCCTGACATGTCGCTTCAGTTGGAGATTGAGGTTCTTGGTGCAACTATCCCCACCTCAAAGCGCCTTGCCTTCCATTTCCCTGAATCTAAAACCCAAGCCATTGTCAAGGAGATCAAGCATATCAAAGCCCTTCCCTTGTCTGCTCAAATGAAGTCTTTTTTCATTGGAGTGAAGGTTATTCCCCGCTTTTGCTTCGCCGCTTCTCTTAACCAAGTGCCTAAGGAAGCTATCAAGAGAATCCAATCGGAGATTGTCCAAACCATTTGGGGTCGCCGACCCCACTGGCGAGCAAGGGCTCTCGTGATGGCTTTTATTGCGAAGCCTCATCAAAATGACCCGCAATGTGCTAGAGCATACCACACGATTCTAGAGTTCGTGAGGTTCCTTCGCATGCCTGGAAATGGGCTGGACAAGGTTTGTTGGTGCGCTAGCTCCTCTCCTCACGAGCATAGCTTTGTAAATCGTATTCAGCAAGCGTTTGCTTTTTTCGGATTTCAACTTTCGGACACATTGCGAATTAGCTTTGCTGGAAAAGATTTGATGCCAGTGTGGGACCTCACACCCAAGGACATCAAGCCTTTGCTCCAGAGGTTTGCCAGGCATAAATGTTACCTCGATGCCGCCAACCAACATCGAAAGGATTTCCGAATGCCTGCTGGGATTCTCGATTTTGACCTCACGTGTGGTCTTCGTAAGTCTTCCCAGCTTCAGATGAGCTCCGATGTGCCGGTTGAAAGCCATTTCCAGTCCCAGCTGGTGGGGTGTACCCTCACGCGCGATAGGCTTTTTGCTGCTTCTCTCGACTCATCTGACAAATGCAGATTTTGTGAGGGAGTCAAAGAATCCCTTTCCCATCTTGTCCATGACTGCCCGGTATTTTTGGATCGCTTCCCGCCTCATCCGATTCATGAATACGGACCCAATTTTGGTCTCCTTGGAATTGTGGAACACCCCATTGGTGTCGTCAAGCACAGATTGGGATGGTCTGACCCCGCACAGGTTCCTGAACGAGATTTTCATTCTGATGCACCACATGCTGAATGGTGGTCGGATGGTTCCATTTTTTGGTCGGACATTTTCTGGCTCACCTCCGGGGGTTTTTCGATCGTGGACCAAAATCACCAAGAGGTTTTTGGGGGACCGGTCTACAACCTGGGCCTTTCCTCCTACTCAACAGAGTTGTGGGCAATGGTTGTGGCCGTACGAAGTTGTACAGGCCCGACGACTGTTTATACAGACTGCCAGACGGTGGTGAACCAGTTCCAAGAGCTTCAGCTGAACAAAAGTCCTGATCCTTCTTGGTCGCACCTTGCATGGTGGCAAGCCATCCACGACAGGTTGACTGAACTTTCCCAACTTCACCAGATTCCCTTTCAAGCTGTTTGGATCCCGTCGCACTTGTTTGAACATTTGCCTGAAGAATATATCACGGAATCCATGGCTCGATCGAAAGGCACAGAAGTACGTCACATCATGGGTAATCGTTTTGCGGATCGTTTTGCCAAAGATCATGCACTTGAGTGCACCAGTGTTCACCCAAAAGACGAGTCCATGCTCAAGAAGTCGATCATACAGCGTCAGGATTGGCTTGCGAATCTCAACATGCAGGTAGCGGTTCTGCAAAAGCAAGACCTTGACATGAAAATGGAAGCGAGATTGGAAGCGGAGGCAGAATCCGAAAATGTATACTCTCTTTTCCCGCATTGGGAGTGGGATCTCACAGCCGATAGCTTCCCATGGAAACCAGGTGTGTCCGTGTTTTCCGTCCCGCTTCACGACAAGTGGAAGGAACGTGGTCCGAGCTGGCGGGTGTTGGGCAGTTTCTTTGATACCCTCCAATGGAGGCTCCATGAGTCTGCTTTGACTTCCTATGTTGAACTGGCGGTCTTGTTTTACCTTCGGGGCTTCCTTCTGCCCGAGCACGATCCGGAGCAGAACACCTTTAGAGATCTCACGGGAGAGATTCGGCAGTTTGTTGCCCATATCCGTCTCGTTTCAGATGCAATTGTCCCTGGAGTACATAACCGACATCGCAACAAGAGCATTGGTAAGTCATTGCCGAATGGCACGATCGATGGGGCCGAAGTTTACTTCACAAAGGCCGAAAAGATTCGTTTTGCTCAAATACTCTCAGGAGTCTCAACAGCCCGGCTTTCGGCATGGGAGTTCACTTTTAGCAGCGCAGAGTCTTAATTCATCCTTTCATGTGGACCTCACACATGTGTTTCGGGTGCATGGCAGAATGCCTTGTACACCAGTCGTGACCGCATCGACGCGTCGGGAAGAAGAGAATAGACGGCTAGGGAGGTTTTGACCCACAGCCATAGAATGTAGTGGGATTGCACGGGCCCGTGCATCTCTACTGCAATGCTGCGCCCAAGCATCGTGGTGAGCAAGCCAGGGAGAGAAATCCTCGTTTCCAGGCCTCTGCACGTGCCTGCGAAGGCTGAACAGCACATTGTGGGATGCTTTGCTCCTCCAAGCCACGCCAAAGAGTACTGGTTGTGTTCTCCATCTTACATATGATGCCGGGGGCTGCTTCCCAAGCCAGGGCTTGCAGCTAAGCTGTATCGTGGTACCCGACGACGGCGGGCTCACTCTCAGGATCTTGTCTGGGGAGCACTCGTACTCACAACTGAGATACTCAAACTTGTTTTGTTCCCACGATCTTGCTGGGCTGGAAAGCGGCTCTACAAGCAGCACCAAATCGTCTACGTGAGGCAAGATGAGCAGAAAGCCCACCAGGCACCTCTTCGCTGGCTCCCCAAGGGAGAACAGATGGTGATCCTATGTGGTCCTTGCTAAGAGGCTTCGCGCTGACGAATGGCAGGGTCGTAAGAGCATCTGTCGCCAGAGAAACGCGCAGGACCAGCGCAAAAGAAGCTGGGTTTGAAACCAGTGTGAAGGCCTCACATGGCAACTGCGCAAGACCGATCGTTTTCACACCCTTACAAACTCTTTTGCCTCGATGGGCGGCGAACATAGGAAAACCATGGAACTTCCTTACAGCTAGTAGCACAAACACAAACTTCCATTACCTCGGCTAGGTGAAACGTTGCCTCCAAGTCCTTGAAGCTGGAAGATGACAGTCACAAAGCGCTGCTAGCCAAGTCTGTTCCGTCCGCAAAGCGCTGCTCATCGATCCAAAAACAAATCATGAACCGGCCACTGCGCCAATCTGCTTCTTCCAGGTAGCCCACATGCCAGCAAACAGTGCACTACATCAACCTCTATGTGTTTGGTCACCAAGAATCCGATCGCTAGAGTAATAATATATAATTCCATAGTGCCACTGCATCCAAAAACATGGGCTGTCCAGCTTTTCAAGAGGATACAGCAAGTCAAGATTTACTGTGCAATGAGATACACGCAAGCACCTGGATCTGGACTAAAATATGCGGACTGAATGGTCTAGGCCACGATCATCCCATCAACAGTGGCGTCTGCATCAACACCCGCTTCAACAGGAAAATTGACAAATCGTCTGCATTTCGTATGCAGCTCCAAGGCCTACTAGGGCCTTCCAAGATGTTGTTTGGCCCCTAAGGTCTCTGGTTTCTGGCTTTCAAGCTTCGAGCCGCTCAGTTTGAAAACAAGTCAACTCCCCCAACTCACCAGCTCAGCAGCTCGGCCTTGTTGCTGTATTCGTTTCGCTGCAAGTAGATGCCAGACACACCCTGAAGCAAAGCACAACTGATGAAGCAAAGCCCGTCAACATCTTACTCCAAGACAGATCTAGCCTTTCAACTCTTCAGGTCTCAAAAGGAACTAATCAGAAGTGGCTCACAAGAATCTAGGCATGGACACGAGTCTCTTCTTAGCCAAGTTTGCGAGCCAGTCAATCAAAGCCGGCGTCTTCCCCGTTTTCGAATCGGCCGATCGGTGTGGCAAACCGCCTCCCCTCTCAAATACCCATCAGCTGATCGGTCATAGGTGAAGCAGCGGCCCTGGAAGGAGAGCATGCCACCTGGTGAAAGAGATGGACCAAACTGTTACCCAAACCATTGATGGGTAGACCGGCCTGTTTCCCTTCTTCCAGGCATGTGTCTTTCTTTGCCAATGTCAATGTTGTCGCAAGAATCCCAATACAGTGAGGGGAAGATCTAGATGTAAACTGTTTTTGGCATGACCCAATCATGCCCATGGCATTTCAAGGCTCGTGCCACCACAGCAAGAGAGGAAGCCAAAAGGGCTGTAAGCCTGAACTGGCCGTGAGCAACATGTCCAAAGTTCTTTTCCTGGTCTTCAAACCGGACACTATTGGAACTGGACCTTCTTTGATGAAATACGTAATGTTCACAACAGTACTATTCGGGACCTCACTGAGTCTTCTGCCAACTGCGTGCCACAGCAAATGGAACCCTCCAACGGATCGAAGTCTTTGTACTTGAGATACAACTTCCCGGTGTGCGTGGCCTCAGTCTCCGAATCCATTGCCGTGAAATGGTACGATGTTGTACGGGACCCCAAGAGTTTCGGAGGTTGGTCTTTCTTGTGCCATTTTGCCGCTTGCAATCACAGAATTAGGAACTTGCAAGAGCTGCCATGAATTCGCGCCACCGCTTGTACGGCTCATCTACAAGCTCTCTCTCTCTCTCTCTTCCAGATGAGGCCGTTCCTTACACAGCTGGCCGCTCTTCGGCCGCGTGTCGCCTATGCCGTGCAAGCGCCTGGACGGATGTCCAGATACTCTTGCACTCTTGGATCATTCAGATCCCACTTCTCAGGCTCCGCTCGAGTCACTCGCAAGGGCACATCCTTCACCTGCCGGAGTTTTGGGTCGAGATGACGGGAAAAGGGAGAAAAGGCACTCCTGGTTTTTGCCATTGGCCACATGGTTATTGTAAGAGCGCAACTGGAATATGAGCTGGATGTACAATCCAAGTTGGGCTTCTGACCACTTCTCCTCTTTGGAAAAGACCTCCAAAAGTGCTTTTGTCTTCCAGCTCCTCCCGTGCCATGAGGCTGAGCAGTGTTCAAACGCCGCGAAAGCACGACCTGTACAGAAACACGAAATCGATTTCTATCTCTTGCATTCTTTTACTCGAGCTTGGGAGTCTGTTTTGGTCACTCTCCAGCCCCATCATTGCACACAATCTCCCAACATCCAGAGATCTGCGGCGCAGCCTGCTTCTTCTTGTCTGCTTTGAGCTTGGTCAGCAATGTTCGGACCTTTTTGGAGCTTGGTCAGCATGGCTCTGCTATGGGCGGGTGGGTTTCCTACACCCATACTTAGTGAAGTCGAGAAAGAATAGAAAGTAGATGAAAGTAGATGTGAGGCCGCCCAGTTTAACTTTTCAGCACAAGACACAGCGTGTCAGAGCAACCACGTGCCTCTTTGTCACCCGGAGCCAACTTGGCAGCTGCCAACAAGTCCTGCCCATGTGCCCATGGGGAAGATGCAATGTCGATCAGACAAGATCAGCCCATTTTTGCAGAACTGTGTCTTGGGCTTTTGTCCTTGATGTCCTCGGAGTCCTTGAGTTTTTGAGCATCGGTGTCCCTAGTAGCTTCTTGTTCCTAGTAGTACGGCCAGGAGCCCCTAGTACCGTCCTTGCTCCGTTCGTAGCGATGCCCTTTGCTCCTAGTAGTGTCCCCCCCCAGGTTCTCCAAACGAAAGCTCGCATCAACAGCATCCCTCCTGGATCGCTGCTTGTCGCTCGGTCGGCCCCGCTGAGGCAGGTCCAATCCGCGCTTGGGCCCGGCGATAGAGCGCCTTCACCTTAAGGAAGTGGTGAGGTGAGGGGGGTCTACCAGTCTACTTAGGGGAAGACAGAAACCCTTACTTGGAAAAAAAGAGGGGAGTGTGGCCTCTGATAGGGGAGTGTGGCCTCTGATAGAAAGGAAACGTAGATCTGATTGACTATCCTCACTGTTCTTCAGAAACGAAACCCACCTATCAAGCAGCTCCAAGTTTGAGCCAACAGTCAACCCACTAATCCAGGGCTTCACCTGCCAAGAGACACTTTCTGGGTTCACCTTGTTGAGCACCTCATCACAGGCCTTCTTCATATCATCAAACTTCCCCAGCTTTTGAGAAGCCAACGCAATGTTCCTGAGCCAAAACACCATCAAAGAGCATTTGTCGATGCACTTATCATCAATTATCACCCTCTTCCCCGAATCTCCTTCGCTTAAGCCAACAGTCCAAACCTCAAGCTCCTTCCTGAGGGAAACATGAGGAAGCAGCAACCGTCACGGTCATCACCTCTTTAAAACCCTTCAGATTCATGAAACCAGAAATCCAGTGCATCCAAAACGAGCATGCTGCAAGATACTGTCCGGTCATCCCTGGAAATCTTCCTAGGCGCAAATAGCAAGAGGTCACGAGTTCTGTCGCCTCCTGAGCCCCAACACTCTGCCCCTGCAAGGCCGTCTCGTCCACACGCAGGAAGTCGTCCTCGATGCCCTCGCGAACAGCACCAGCTCGACGAACCGGGTCGAATCGGCTCGACGAACCGGGTCGAACCGGCTCGCGGCAAAAGGAGCGTGGCTGCACGTCGATCCAACGCGATGGACTGAAGGAGTCCCAAAGTGCGCATCTGACGAGCTTGGAGCTTGGCCGGCTTGGCCTCCAGCCATCCGATTCAGCGTCCGGTCCCAGCCTTGTAGGAGCCATCGTCATTCTTCCAATCTGGACGAGTGCACTCAACATATCCTGAGGCTTGAAAAGTGTCATGATCTGCTCCTTTACACAATACAGGAAGGGTCCAAGCATCAAGGGCCAAGTCTAGCATCCCAGAGTTCAAATTTAAATATACAATGAAGCTCTGGGTTCTAGAGCACCTCAACATTCACCCTGCTTCAGAACAACAAACTGTTCTGAGGCCTCTGGGTTTGAGTGCAAGATTTGCTTCTTGTACTGTTGCCCAGTGGCTGAGCAATCCAGCTGCTTTTTCATATCGCCGCACTGCTTCTTCCAATCCCTGCTGCTCATCCTCCTCTTCCTCCATCTCCTGCTCCTGCACGGATAAAAATTATGTTTAAAGTTTAAAAAAAATGGTGCCGAAGTCGTCTTGCTGCGAAGCTTCCGTGACCTGAAACTTCAACTTGAAAGCACTCTTGATCACCCCAGACAACTTTCGCCACGATCTCATGCCCCTATGCCCTTCCAGTCTGGGACTGGGGTACAAGAGGTAGGTTGATCTCAAAAAATGAATACACTTACACAATGAAATTGTATGAATTTCTCCACATTCATGCAATTGAAGCCCAGCACGAACGCAAGAATTGCATGTCCGGAAGATCTGCACCACAGCCAACTGACGTCGACTTCTGTGACAGACGGCTGTTGAGGCCTGTGGACGACAGACCTGAGCTTTCAGCGCAATCAGGTGCTGTCGCAGCTCCTGGAGCAGAGATGAGCAGAGTACCAAGTACCAATCTGTCTGAAAAAGTGGGGAGCCTGACCCCACCCACCCCAGGGTGCTTGGGAAGTTCCTTGTTTGGAGCACATTTGAGCACCATGTTTTTGTTTCTAGACCTCCAAAATGTGCGAGACAAGTTGGAGAGGCTAAGTGTCAAGAGCCTCCCGAAGGAGAGATGACGTCCCGTGGGGTGCCGTCCTTCAACTCGCGCTCCTTCTCCCAAATGGCCGCTTCTACTTGCCTCATCAAAGGACTGCAAAAGGCTACAAGGTCGGCGTGCAAGGGGAAAAACTGCACGTCCTTGTGCAAGTTTGATCGAACTGCAGGGTACTCGAACCTGACCCGGCGGTTAGCATGAGATGGATGGATCAAGATCTCCTTTTTCCCCTGGAGGGCATGGTTTAGAACCCCTGGTGTTCATGTCCACCTCGTTTCCCACTGGATCTTGGAATTGAGTTTCTCCTGAACCCACTTGGCCACCCACTTGGAAAGTGGTTGGAAGTTTCATCTCCCACAAAGAGCCGACACCCACAGGCGGCTCCAGATCTTTCGATCACCAGGCGGCTCAATCTCTTGACTCAATGAGTCTGGCCCACTATAGCCCGCAGAGATCGGTCTCCTGATTCGATGAGCTCTATCGTGGTGCTTTCATGTGCTGCTCTATCGATTTTGTTCGGTTCTCACGAACAACGGACAAACGCCAGCGGTCTAACCCTGAAGAACCCAACAACAGCACCCGTGCCAAAACAACAGCTCAGACCAAGGTGTCAGGGTGTCCTGCTCGACTTCAAGAGGTTGTTCCCTTCCTCCTTCAGTTCTTTCGCATGAGCCATCTTTTCGGACAGGGAACCGCTCTTTCGTAGTCTTTGCACCTCCTTGTCCTACCAGCAAGAGCTGATTGTCAACACCATGCAGCTCTTGTAAGAGCTGGTTGCACTTCTAACATCTTCCAACAGGTGCAAGCACCGGCAAGCGCCTGCTCGCCATGGAAAATGGTGTTCTGGAAAAGAGATGGAAAACTGTTCCACATCTGCATCTTGTACTGATCTTGTGCCGTGCGCATGCCCACAGCATGCCGCAAGGGATCTTCCATAGTGCCTTTTCCAAACTGCTGCCTGGCTTCGCGAGCCACACAGCCAATTGCCACGCACTTCAAGCATAGAATAGTGGAATCCAGTGGAAAGAGAGAGAGAGAGAGAGAGCGAGAGCGCCACTTCATCGTGAACCGATCTCTCCAACCCTATAGCAAGGTTCATCTGTTTCACTATCTGTGTTCATTGAAAATACATTCAATTGGGCCGTGAGACCAGGCCGCCAAGTTGCATATCGAGCTTGATAAGGCCAGGGCCGTCATGGGGATCGTCCTCCTCGTCCATGGCGACCGTCCGTGGTGATGGAGGTGATGAAGTGCAGAACTGTGATGCGCGATACGCTGAGAGAGTTCGTGTTGCTAGGTGAAAGGCTTTTGGTTATGGAACTAAAAGATACTAAAAGGCTGCTGGAGAGTGAGAAAAGAGAAATGCAAAACTTAAGTTGCTACGAGAATGAGAAGCTTGAGCCAGTGCTAGTCAGGTTCAGTGTCAACAAGAAAAACAATCAGACTATTCAACCAGTGCCAGCAAATGACCTTGCTAACCGTGTGATTGCAAAACCACAGCATGCCGGAAAAGCCTCGAGACATCTTGCCAGGCAACTTCGTGTGCATTGAGGCCAGTGCCACAAGTCCAGCTGAGCAAGCTGTATTGATGGTCTGACCTGAAGTAAGACCCAGAACCTGCAGATGTTTGGTGATTTTTCCTTTACAAGGGTTTTTGATCCCCTATTTTCGATATTTTCGAGCATCCCACACGCCGACACACGCCCATACCTTGCCAGAGACTCTGAGAATGCTGCTGGCACCCTTGAGGTTCAAGGAGAAATTCACCCGATTCGAGATGATCGCCTCTGCGCCTGTGCACTGCAAATTGTGCAGCCCATGCTGAGCAAAAGAACCAATGGCACAGGCAAGCCAAGACTGCACCTCCACAACCTGCTGCGTCTGCTGGGTGAGGTACCATACCCCTGATGCACCATGAATAATGTGTCGTTCATGGTGCAACCAAAGGGAAGTCTAAGCACAGCGCCACTCTGATCCGCTGACACCAACAAAGCAACCTAAAAGCGCAGGTTCAGCTGTGTCCGAAGTTTGAACAAGCAACATTGGTAAAAGAAGGGAATATATGTGTCACAGTTCAACAGGGAAGATTGGTCTCTTTGGATTCGTTCCTTTGGGCTGATCTCAGCTTTTGGCCGATGTGCTGTGGACTGCGCTTCAGGGAAGGCATGTCAATGCCTGGCTTCGGTAGCTGTCCAGCTACATGTCCTTCTTTATGGAGCTTGCAGTAGATTGCACATCTATATATTCTTCAGAGTCGAGGACCTGGTTCACTCTTATAGACATGGTGTGGTTGGTTGCAGATGGATGCAAAGTCTTTTCTTGAAACTGCCGGACGGCCTGCCATGTTGATGCTTTCGTACGCAATTTCCAGAGTCTGCCCGCAGGAATGAGCAAGGAAGTGGTGAACTGAGAATCCAGACTCTGTCCAAGATCCATCTGACATCAACGATCATCAGGGAAAACAACCCCTCATAACCCCTCATGCAATGTCTCACATATTGGGTTGTTGCCAAAATGCAACCTGCCTTGCGCTGGTTCGGGTCCATGGCTGCTGCCTGGCATGCGAGAAGATTGAGGATTGGTCTTTTTCAATGATGCCCGGAGAACACGCTCCTTGCTTGAAGGGTTCTTCTGGCACGTCAAAGTTGATCGCAGCTATTGTCGCCATTCCTTACCGCATGTGCCTTTGAATCTCTAATGGTTCGGTGCGCCAGCACTATCCAAAAAAAGATCAGGAACCAATCAAGAAGCAAGATCAACAAGATTCAGCTTCCCCAACAAACCCGGCCATGCTGTGCCTCGGCAGCGGAGATGCCAAAGAATTTTGCGTCAAAGAATTCAATGCCATCGACATAGCCCTGCAGGGTCTGCTCGCAAGGCTACTATCAAGGTCTCGTGCCTCGGAGTCAAAATATATATATATACACTATATTATATAATATACTGTATGAATATTCAAGCCGCTCCACCAAACCAATTTTTTCCTCTTCGTGTTCACTCGAGGTCTTTCGTTGGATATGGGAACTTGGCGCCACCCGCTCTTGTCGTTGATATCCGCATCTAGCACCCATGCGTGTGCCCTGCGGACCTACAACAAGAGTTGCTCACCCGTAGAGTCGACACCCAGAGCATTCTCCCCCCGGTGGCCACGTTAGGGGCGCTCTGGTGTTGTAACTCTATCCCCCCCGCTGCTCCAGTGCGCCACATTGGGATGCAGGGGTGTGGGGGTTCGTCCCAACACGCCGGGATCAGGACGTGTCCAAGTTGCTCCCAAATCGCGGACCTCTGAAAAATTAAAACGAGAAGGGCCGTCTGCAAGATTTGACTTGCTCTCAACTCTTTCTATGTAGACAGATGCTTTCAGCCTGGCTACTGTCAGCCAAAAGTCCCCGACGATGGAAGAACTATCGACCTGGGGTGAGTAGCCGCGAACCAGATTTGCTGACGCGCTGTCGTTGTCACAGAAGAGAAAAACTGAGCGGTTCTGCAGGCGGGTACGCCAAGTTTCAAAAGCTACCGGGGCTGCCAGAAGCTCCAGCTGGCCCATAAATGACTTGCGTTGAAGCCATTTCTCAACGAGGGCTTCTGGGACGGGCCAGGCCGTGTACCCAGAATATTTGTCGATGGGATCATGAAGAAAGGCTCCCAATATTCGCTGCGGTACACGCTCGGGAACATCCGAGGCGTCTGCGTATAGCAGGATGGGGTTGATGTGATGAACTTTCAACTCACGGGATGGACTCGTGGAAAGGAAGCCCTTCATCTGGCGTAAAGCCAGGATGAGCTCAGCCGTCAAAGTCTCGACTGGATACGAGGCGTATTGTCTGCGACGAAGCGGCCCCGTGCAACAACGTCCCACGCGCCCAAAGAGTGTGGAACATAAAAATTGGAACTTCCCGACCAGGCTGCCTGCGAGGGCGGGAGAAAGCCGACCGGTACTCAAGACCCTATCAATGGTGTCTTGGAGGTAGGCCAGGCGAGTCTCCTTGGCCGCGACATGGATAATCTTTTGACTGTGTAAAGACTCGGTGTTGAAGCAAACTCCCAGGATGGCACATACCTCAGCCGGAGGTTGCGACTTCTCCGGGTCCAGCTGGAATCCGAGAACCTGAAATGTTTCCCTGAGGCAGAAAACAGCAGACTTGATGGTTGCGGTCGGTTCCACAACGAAAAAGTCGTCAAAGAAGTGGTCCGTGGTCGAAGAGAATAATCGTTGGATCACTCTCGCTATCCACTCTGCCACACGACAAAAATTTGGCACGGCATGGCCTGCCCCAAAGGGTTGTCCGTACATTTCGTGGAGCGACACCTCCTGCTGCTCCGGGTTGTAGACAGCTGTAATCGCAAAACGTACATCCTCTGGTGAGAGTGGGATCTGTCTGTATGCGCCTTTCATATCCTCGGTAGCCATCGAGATCTGTTCAACAGATCTGGCTAAAGCTCTACATAGGACGCCCACGTAGTCCACCATAACCATGGGTACCTTTTGCATTCGATGTGCTGCCTGATTCACTCCGGATGCAGTATGGTCGTCGATCCTTCTGTATTTCTTCTGACCCTCAGTGTCCTGTCCCTGTTCCAAGCCGAAACTCGGTGTGACCTGGAGAGGACCTGGATACAAAGACCTTGCCTGCTGTAAAGTCATGGCCGGGCCCATGGTGCCGGCTTTGACTTCCTTCTGGGTTTTTTCCCAGATGGCACAAGCCAGCTCGTTGGATCCTTTCTCTGCCATGAATCGGACTCGCTCAATCATTCGTTCCGATCGTTCACTGCAGCCTGCGATGAACTCATCTTGTGACATACTTGGGCTGACCTCCAATTGTTCGAAGAAAGGCGACTCATGAGCTCTGCCTGTGATCTTAAGTCCTTTCAAGCACAACCCTGGGACTTGCTTATCCTCGATGTTCAGGAGGTCCTGGAGACGTTCCATAAGGAGCGTGTTCACCCTGGTGCCTAGTTTCTTGGCAGTCCAAGAAGCGCCTTTATTAACTTGTGACTGTCCCTCCCTCAACTCCTTTGCCCAAGTTTTCAACATGTGCAATGCGTCCAACCTTCTAGAAATCAAATTCTGTGCGTCGACAAACTCCACGATTGCGGCGGCATGCTCGGGCTTGAGCGACTTCAGAGAATCGAAAGGGTGATCCAAGCCCTTTGCCAACCGCAGATGTTCCGCTGGGTCACAAAGTCCGTCAGCGATCAGTTGCATCCTCTTGCCGAAGCTGGGTTGACTCCCCGCTTCAACTGCGTGAGTCCTGTAGCGCTTCTGCGGCTCAGCGACATGCAAGAGATTTTCAGGAGGCCCTGAAATCTCAGCGCCCTGTTCCCGCTCAACCCTTGTTAGATTCGGTGTAAAGATTACGGGGTTCGTCAACGTCTGAATCTCCGAGTGTTCAACTCCAGGACGTCCCTGGGATTGAGCCCTCGGGGGGGGTCAATATTCCACTCCAGGGCAACTGCTCTGGAGAGGGGTGCGTTGGGCCCGGAAAAAAACCTCGATGAAACTCGATGGGGAGGTCCCTTCGGTGAACGTTAAACCTTTTGCGAAAGCTTCACAAAAGGCCTGTGGGTACTCTCGTTCGTCGGCCGTAGCGAACGAAGACACACGACCGTTAACAACCGTGGGTCTCCAGGGCAAGTGCTTCTCCCTGGTACGAGAACAAAAACGACTGTTTTCACATGTGAGACCTACCCTCTCAACCAGGTTGGGGATATTGTGAATTAAAACTTGCGCCTTCCTACGTTTGCAGGGGCTGAACATACACGCATGATAAAAGGTGACTAGAACCCCGGGTTCCCTTTCCAGCTGCCTCCACTTGGTCAAGTGGCGAGCCAGAGAGTTCTTGGGGTTCTCGAGCGAAAAGTAGCGCCCACTTCGATGGGCGTCCAAGCACCTGTCGGCAGCAAGATTCGCCATGTCGGTATCGAGGGCTAGCTTCCGTCTTTTTGCTACCGGGAGGTGCTGGACTACGTCTGGAATCCCTTCAGGGAAAGATTCACTCCTGAGGGGTTCCGGCGGATTTGCCACTCCGGGGATAGGGTATTCCCTCGCCCGAGAAAAGGTGCAACAATTGGGTGCCCAGTGCTGGACTTCGTGTAGTACGAGTTCCGAATCAAGCTCAATCCGGTCTCGAAACACGTCCCTGCCCCGCAACAGGTCCCAAGGCCGCGCAACTCTTTTTAATCCTTTTCGGAAGAAGTCTGCCCTCACTCCAGGAACGG